ATAATCCTGTCTGTAAATACGTTCACTCAACAACTGTCTTCTCTCTATATATATACTGAAGACCAAATGGCCGGGCCAGAAAGAATCACCAACAAGAAACTATGGGAACAAACAAAACAAGAACCAATCGCCAGCCAACAAATAGGCAGGAGAAAGAGGATGGAGGTGGATTGGACACTCGCTGAGGAGGCCGCTGGGTGACGTCGCGCGCGCGTCAGGCCATTGCTCGAGTGGAACTCGAAAGGGAAGCGGCGAGTGGGTGGTCAGGGCAAGGGTGACATGGAGGAGATCGTGTGAAGAGGAGTTGAAACAGTATGAACTAACATGGATGCAGATGAAAAGTTCAGCAGAAGATAGAAGAAAGTGGAGACGTGCAGTTAAAGCCCTGTGTTCCACTAGGAACCCCAAAAGAACAATAATAATAGTAAATATGTTCACTATTTCTTTATTCAAACTAATAAAGGTGACCGACTGTATAGAATTCCCCAGTCAATTAAAAAGAGGTCAACAAGTGGATAGTCAACGTCATGCACTCCAAAAGCGCAGTTCATATATACTATCATTATTATTCCCTTGGATTCCAAGTCGAATATAGGACCTCAACAATATGTCTCCACTTAGTTCTATTTCCTGCAGGCTTCTTTAGTTGGTCTCCTCGCACGAACACACACCCCCTACACACACACACGCTATCATCAAACTCACTCCTAACTCGTCGATTCCCAATCGGATTCTATTCGAGCAATGGTCTAACGGAAGATGCCATTCAACGATCTCTCCTCACTGCCGTATGCCCAATCATCCATCTCCATATTCTCCAACATATTTATTGAGCAATCAATCGGCTCTTGGTTGGTTTGTTACACTTTCAGGGTTTCTTGTGTCTAGTTCTTTCTGGCCAGCCGACCATTTCATCTTCCATATGGTAGCCGCTGAGTGCCGGCTGTTGAATATATATATACATATATATATATATATATATTTTTCCTTCACGTTCCCAGTGGAACATAGGGCTCTAAGCTAGTGGCTTGAAGTTTCTGTAGCAGTGTTTAATTTTTACAGGATGGTGTTGCTAGCCTCATGCCCAACCTTTCCTCTTTACCAGCATTATTTCTGGCTCAGTGAGGTAAAGGAGTGCGCCGGCCGGGGATCGAACCCCGGACCATATGCATGGTCGGCGAGCGTGCTAACCGCTATACCACCGACGCACATATATATATATATATACAGCCCGATCTCTATTCCACCTATCTCAGCCTGAGTAACAACTAGGTATCACTATCAGTCTCCACCACACGATATATCTCTGGCCCATAGTGGTTCCACATAACTGACTTCTTAATAACCATAGGCAGAATGCAAGTGTGACAATTCCGGCTGAGTTGTAGACGATATATACTGTGTCAAAGATGACAGAACATCCTGTACTTAATTAAACATAAGAAAATTATTCCGACGCTCACTAGCGACCTGGGGTTCTAGTGCGAAACCGTGACCAGTAGTCTACAGAAGGTTAAAGGTGACGCAGTAACTCATCGAAGAAGACAATACGAAGTGGTCGCACTATGTAATGAATTGGTAGAAGTTAGAATTTATGCACCAGCTGAGCATTAGATCGGGTCCCAATGGGTGATGAATGGTGTGGTTATTCACCTAACCCCACCTGGCCAACAGGTTGAATCTGCAAAATTCACCCTGAGGGTGTCAGGAGATGCCACAGCTAGTTCACGAGGATTAGCTGGCGTAGGGATAGCTTTGAGTACTAGGGCAGAAAAGACATTGCTTGACTGGATCCCGGTAGATAGCCGAATGTGTGCTGTCCGCCTGAACGGATCAGTAAGAAGGAGAAAGGACTGCACTACTCGCCGATGCCTTTTCGTAATCTCCGCCTACGCCCCCACTGACTGCAGTTCAGATGAAACGAAGGATGAGTTCTACGAAAAGCTGTCTAGTTTGGTGCGAAAGGCTAAACGCTCAGACATAGTCGTTCTAGCTGGTGACTTTAACGCTCAAGTAGGGAAATTGTGTCAATCTGAGAAGGATGTCGGTGGCACCTATGGAGTTCCGTGCCAGCGAACCGACAACGGTGACCGTCTCCTACAGTTCTGTTCTGATAATCATTTGTTTCTTGTAAGCACTAACTTCAAACACAAGGAGAGACACTGTTTGACTTGGAGACCCCCTTCATCAAACCAACGCTGGACACAAATAGACCACATAGCAATAAGCTATCGTTGGCGTGGGTCGGTAGGAGATTGTCGCTCCTTCTGGAACACGTGCGTAGATACCGACCATGCACTGGTCCGCGCTCGGGTGTGCTTACGACTGAACGGACGTAGGAAACAGCTGGCGGTAAAACCATCACGTCCCCAGCTCGATCAGGAAACTAAATCCGTATTTCAGGAAGAACTAGCTAAACACATATCTGTGTTCGACAGCTGTGCTCACCCTGAAGAAGCTTGGAAAAATATCCAGGCAGCCATAGATACAGCTGTAAAAGCTGTGAATAAGGTAAACCCAAAGGTGAGTAAAAACCACTGGATCTCCACCGCCTCATCCGAACTGATAGATGCTAGAAGACTTATTCCGGCGAGCTCCGAATTCAATGAGGAGCGAAAGCTGCACAAGAGGAAACTTACGAAAAGTCTCCGCAAGGACCGTGAACAGTGGTGGGCGACAAAAGCCAAAGAGATGGAGAAAGCTTTGAGGATAGGCAACACCAGGCAACTCTTTGGACTCATCAGGGAAACGGGTGGGAGAAGACAAATCATCAGTGAGACAATCTCGGAAAAAAATGGCACTATAATTAGCTCACAGGATAGACGACTGGATCGTTGGAAAGAGCATTATGAGGAGCAGTTTAATTTGCCCACAGCCACGCTCAACCTTCCGAGCATCCAACACCTCCCTGAATGGGATATAGATACAGGTCCTCCGTCACTAACTGAGGTTACTAAAGCTGTCACCAATCTGAAACTAGGCAAAGCAGCGGGACCTGATGGAATGACGCCAGAGGTATTTAAGTACGGTGGAGACAGCTTACTGTCCGGATTAACTGAGGTACTAGGCAGCGTTTGGGAATCAGAAGAAGTCCCATCGGGTTGGTGTAAGTCACTGATTATCCCCATATACAAGAAGGGAGACAAGTCTTCCTGTGATAATCACAGAGGGATTAGCTTGACTAATATAGTATCTAAAGTCTTAGGCTCAATAATCATGCGTAGACTGAGTGGTGCTCGGGAAGCACAAACACGAGAGAGCCAGGCAGGCTTTAGACCAGGAAGAGGGTGTATTGATCATATCTTCACCCTCCGACAGATTCTAGAACATAGGCATTCCTACCGGCGTCCAACAGTCATTATATTTCTTGACCTAAAGGCAGCATTCGACTCTGTCGATCGGGAAGTTCTCTGGAGATGCTTGGCTGTAAAGGGAATTCCAAGAAAATATATTGCACTGATTAAGGCACTCTATTCGTACTCATACAGCCAGGTGAGGGCTTACGGCGAGCTGTCATCTGAACTGATGACGACCAGTGGTGTCCGTCAAGGATGCCCATTATCTCCTTTTCTATTCAACTTCATCATAGATGTGTTAATGGACTTAACCCTAGGTGACTTCAGCGATTCAGGGATTGACTTGCTACCTGGGAATAATCTCGTTGACTTGGAATATGCAGACGATATAGTCCTTCTAGGCGAAGACGCTGACGAAATGCAGAGTCTTCTAAACACCTTGAACAGCAATCTACGAATGTTTGGCATGCGATTCGCTCCCGCCAAATGCAAGATGATGTTACAGGACTGGACTACATCGACGCCTAGTTTAAAAATAGGAAGTGAAGTGGTAGAGCACGTTGACCGCTTCACTTATTTGGGAAGTACCATCAGCCCCAACGGGCTGATCTCTGACGAAATCTCAGCACGAATACAAGGGGCTCGTTTCGCATTTGTTAGTTTACGCCGACTCTGGCGTAGACGAGATGTTCGACTATCGACCAAAGGGCGGGTGTACTGCTCATCAGTCCGCTCCGTCCTCCTTTATGGTTGTGAGACCTGGCCACTGAGAGTGGAAGACATGAAAAGACTAGCTGTCTTTGATCATAGGTGCCTGCGTTCTATTTCCCGTGTAAAGTGGCATAATAAGGTGAGCAACATGGAGGTTAGGCGTAGAGTTCTAGGTAAACAGGGGAAATCAATCGACGAAGTCGTGAAGCTACATCGACTGAGATGGTTAGGACATGTGTTACGTATGCCAAGCCATCGCCTCCCTCGACGAGCTATGTTAGCGGATATAGGGTCAGGCTGGAAAAAAGCTAGCGGCGGTCAAACAAAAACTTGGCATCAGTCAATGAAATCCACAACAGTTGGTCTAAGCCACGTAGGAAGGTGTAGACTTCCAGGCTGGGGTCCTCGGGACGGTAAAAATCTATGGTTGGAAACAATTGGTGACATGGCTCAAAATCGTTCTCAGTGGCGCAGATGCATCCACTCCCTGTGACTTATGATCTTCAATGAAACTGTTTTGTTTTTCTTTATTACTCCTTTGTCTCACACCTCTGCTCACTGTTTCTATTATGCTTTTCTTGTACTTTCTTCTCTTGCTTCGCGTGCTACACGGAATGTGGCGACTTGAACTTCCGCACATTTGTGCAAAGTTCTATGTCGAAAACAGACAGACAGACAGACAGAATGGTCTACGAGCTCGCTAGCCTTGTGACCAAAAGGTCCTGGGTTCGAACTCCTGTGGGTACGTACTGCTGAATAGTTTCAAACTAGGCTGACGAAACAACCGTCCAGTACACCCAGCTGGTTTTCCAGTGGTTCTCTAAGAGATGTCAGCTCATAATGAAATTCTCCATCCAATCAAACCAAATCCCTACAAAAACCAATACTTGAAGATAAGAAAATAAGTCGAAATTCAAATAAACCTTGAACTGATTAATCAATACAGAAAGAAAGATCGATATCGGGGAGTGAGGTTTGGCATAGAGAACTTACTTCACTGGACGAGCTCTATCATCATGCCAAAGATCTTGTATATCAGGTAGAGTTAATGGAATAGGATTATCCAGAGTGAAACCACCATTCGATGCATCATCTATTGATGAATTCACTAAAGACGAAGCTGTAGATGTTCTTGTAGTTGTTAATGTCGAGGAATGTTGAATGTTAGTTGAATTTGACCATGGATTAGGACCAGGATTAGCAAATACAGCCCGCCATTGTGACAGAGCTTCTTCCCATTGTAAACATTCTTTGGTCATTTGATTCACTGTTTCTCTATGCAAAAGTTCTTTATTCTTGTGTAATTGAGCTCTTTCGGGATAGAGAGAAAACAAAGAGAAAGTACAAGATGGACGGTAAGCTTAATTATTAAATGTAAGAAAGACGGATACTCTGGTAGTATGTAAATCCTATTTTAAACTGTTTGTTTGATAGGTATCACACAGTGTGAAACAGTACTATCTACTGGACGACGAAATTTTCAACTTAGTTTATTATTTAATTTGTGGATGGTGACTAGCAGTGGAATCTGGGACAACGCGCAGTTCAACTGTCCTATTTGGGACTCGTCCTCCAGCCGGGGATGTACCTGCATTCCCCAGTCAGTAAGTGATGATGTTCCCATGTTCCTGAGGCTTGAACCCAGTGTCCATAGTTTCAAACTCCAAAGCGTTATCCACTAGGTCATTTGGGCCACAAGAGGTTTGGCGTTTGAAACTATGGTCACTGGGTTCCAGCATCGGTGGGAAAATCATCAATCACTGGGAAATGCACGTGCATCCCGGCTGGAGGACGAGTTCCAAATAGGACAGTTGAAATGCGCGTTATCCTGGATTCCAATGCTAGTAACCATCCTCAAATTAAATCCTAATTAAACACCCAGACATCGTCGGAGCATCTGCACAAGAAGCTAACATGTCAACCTGAGACCGAGCACATTGGTCCAATCAATGGACGGGAAAATCTAAAATTCAATTAAATTAGTTTATTATTATTATTCATAAAGATATCATCAAATAAAACAACACAACTTTGAAACTTTCGTTTTATAGTTTACTATACCCCTTCTAATTCGTCGTAGACAGGGGGGTGGGGTTGCGGAATTTTCCAAACGTCCGAGATAGGTGGTGAGTAGTTCTTCAGTTACACGAAAACTCTTATTTCTCTGGCGGTTGTTGTCAGGAAATTGTGGAACTTATTGTAATTGTTTGGCTTTCGAACACTGAATCTGTGAATATAATCTTGTTGACCGATAATACCCATAACTATCTGTTTGGCATTTTGCGACTTGCTTAACACTGATATCTATAGTTGTATCTACTGATGGATTTACATGTCAAAGTCGGTCCAAGTCAGTGAGTCTATGGTTGAGATATCATTTTTGACAGTGTTACTACAGCTACAGGTTTCTTTGTTTTAGTTGTCACTGCGCTTCCTGTTGTGAATTTTCTTTTCCTTTTGCTGGTGTGTTGTTCTGATTGCTTTCCTGACTCTAAGGGGAGCAACACCCATAAAGTCGTTCCTCTGTTAACTACAGACATGTAATAACTCCCTTCTCAGGCGTGAGGCTAGCAACCCCACCCTGTAAACTAAGTTGCTACAGAAACTTCAGCATGATGAGTCTCCTTGAGACAAAAGAAAATAGAGTTCTTGTTGAATGTATTCTAAGCGGATCCTATAAATAAAGCTTTGGTTATCAATCCTGCTCCCTCCACCTTGTTGTTACATTAGATTTTAAAATTGTCATATTATCCCATCCCATCGTATTGTATGGTTGTGTGTAATCACATGCAGCGAGTGGTAGAGCTGAACTATTCTCTAGATTTCTTATCTTATTCGGATCAACTAATCTAGATTTTACTAGGCTTTACTGCTCCGCTAGTCTGATTGACACTGTCGCACACTAACTTTGACGTGACAATCATTTTAGTGTATTAGATAAACTAAATATCTTTATTTGATGATAGGCTCCACAGGACCCTTTGAACTGGCGAACCTTGTTTCGGAGTGAACTTGTAGTTGGTTAGAATTCCAGTCACTTTTATTCCTGCATTGCTAAGAATTCTACGTAAGTTTTCTGATATTTCTTCTTCGTATGAGAGTACCACTGACATTGTTACCAATCTGTGCATGTTCATCATACCATATTAACACTTAAACACTTCACCGGTCCTATTTTGAATGACATATGGGGTGCGATAATCCAAAACACAAATATAGTTTTAAATGTGTAGGCATTGTGTCAACACTACTATTTAGCTTTCCATTCCTTCTCTGTGTTATGCTATTATCCAATATTGGAACCGCCTCCTTGGATACCTTCCAGATTCATGTGTGAGCTCAATTGCCCTTACCTACAAGTTAATGCGTTCGAAAAATCCATTTATTTCATATTTTCAAGTACAGTGAATATGTTAACAGGGTGGAAGAAGAGATTGACAACGGAAGCCTTATTTATCGTCTGTCTGCTTTCAACAAAGAACTTTGGCACCGATGTGCACCAGTTCAAGTCGCCACACTCCACTCCATGCAGCACACAAAGCAAGAGAAGAAAGTAGAAGAAATGTATAATAAAGACAGTAGACAGGGATATGAGGCAAGAAGAATAGTAATATCGAAGTAAAATATAGTTTCATTGGAAATTATAAGTCACAAGGAGTGGGTGCATCTGTGCCATCACTGAGAACGATGAATTTAACCCACATCACTGACTGCCTCCAGTCATTGGTGTTTACCGTCGCGAAGAAACCGACCAGTCAGTCAGGTAGTCTACATCTTCCTATGCGGCTTGCTAGCTTAAGCTGACTGTTGTGGATTTCATTGACTGGTGCCGCCATGTTTTCGTTTGACCACTACTGGCTAACTCTTTTCCAACCTGACCCTAAGTCATTTCACATTGCCCATCAGTTGAGGAAGGTGATGGATGGCTAGGTATGCTTGCGTAACACATGTCCTGACCATCTCAATTAGTGTAACTTCACACCTTAATCGACTGATTTCCCCTCAAAACTACCTGGCACTCGACCAAAGCCTAACCTCAATATTGTTCACCCTACTGTTCCACTTCACACGGGCTGTGGATATAACGCAGGCACCTATGATTAAAGACAGTTAGCTAGCCTTTTCATGTCTTCCACTTTGAATGGCCATATTTCACAGCCAGCCATAAAAGGAGGATGGAGCCGACTGCTGAGCAGTACATCTGCCCTTTGGCTGATAGCCAGCTGCAGACCACGTCTACGCCAGATATGGCGTAAATTGGCGTATGCAAAACTAACTTTCTGTCTCCGAGCTAAGATTTCGTCAGCGATCAATCTATTGGCGTTGTCTGATGCAAATCCCCAAATAAATGAACTGATCAACACGCTCAGCCACCGCTTAACTCTCTATTTTTAAGCTAGGAATTAGTGTATTCCAGTCAGTCCTGTAGCATCATCGTAAATCTCGAGGGAACGAATTGTATGCCAAGCATACACAGATTGCAGCTCATGGTGTTCAGAAGCCTCTGCTCTATTTTGTCAGCGTCTTCACTCAGGAGGGTGGACTATATCATTTGCATATTCTAAGTCAACGAGATTATTCCCTGGTGTTAACAAGTCATTCCCTGAGTCGCTGAAGTCAGGGGTCAAGGTTAAGTCCATCAGCATATCTATGATGAAATTGAAATAGAAATGGGGATACTGAGTTGGCATCCCTGACAGACACCACTAGTTGTCACCACTTCAGATGACAACTCGCCGTAAGCGATAGTTACTCTCGAGAACGACTTCACCAAATGTCTCCAGCCGTCAGTGATTCATACAAACCCAAGAACCCCAACTAGGAAGCCTTATCGCCCCAAATTCCTCAAACTGACTACCAAAAATGTGATGGACTGATTCAGAGTTTTAGTTTGACCATCTTTCCTTAACTTTTCTCTAGTCTAATCCTACATCGATTAAGATTCCTCGACGAGGAATGTGATACATTTCTCATGTACAACACGTATCCTAAACATATCGAGCAATGTAACTTTACAACCACATCGGTTGAAATACCCTCATCACCTGGCATTCGACGCCTAGCCTAGATATTACTCAACAGAGAATATACAACACAGGCATCTATGGTTACAGATAGACAGACAATAGAGTCGAACAGGATGAATCCCTATTTTTTCATAATATTTATCAAATATTCAAGTATTGGTTTGTAAGAATTTGATTAATTGATTACAGGATTTCATCATGAGCTGACATTGGTTAGAGAACCATTGGAAAACCAGCTGGGAGTACTCGACAGTACTGAAGTCCCAAACTAGGACGAAACAGCCAGCTGTTAAGTACTACCAGCTGGTTTTCCAATAGTTCTGTAACCAATATCAGCTCATGATGAAATCCTGTAACCAATCAATCAAATTGTTGCAAATCACTACTGGAATATCAATGAGATGCTCACTGGCGACTGGACCTATTACGGTAGGTAGTTACCTGAGGTACTAGGGGGACGTTGTGATCAATAGGGTGCAGCAGGTCGGGTGTGAGAACAAAGACTCGCTGAAGACACTGGTTAGCGGTCGCGCTATGTTGTGAGTTGGCAGAAGTTAGAATTCATGCACTGGCTGGCCACTGGATAGGGTCACAGTGGCTTCTAAATGGTCTACGAGCTCGCCAGAAGGTCCTGGGTTCGAACCTCAGTAGGTCCCGAAATAGTACAGAACAGCTGCCTAGTACTCTCTAGTGCTTTTCCAATGGTTCTCTAACTAATTTATCAAATAATTCATTTATAATTATCATCCGAGACTAGAGGCAAACAAAAAACCGGGTAAACCAATAAAGCAAACTTACAATTCAATTAATGATTGTCCAGTTAAATCATTGACAATAAGTGAACCGGGTGAAATATTTCCACTAATAGATGGATGATTCAGCGATGGATTAAATGAATGATTTACAGGTCCAGGAAATTGAACACTTAATCAGGAGAGAAAAAAGTAAAACAAAACAGGAAATTAAAATTGATTGATAATTGATAAATTTTATTATCAAGTTTCCTGAACAAGATAAAAACTAAAATAAAGTTGTACCGTGGTGAGAGCAGGCTGCTAGCCAATTGGTAGACATTAATTTACGTCAATATTTATGTCGCAAATATTGGTCATGAGAAAATATGAACAAAGACTGATCCAACAACCAATCACAGCACACTGCGTAGGCGGATACAGTTAACATATAGATGATCTGACAGTCAAGAAACAGTCACAAAGAGATGCAAGGTCAACTTTCTGTGAGAACACAACCAATCAGAAGAGTGTGTTTGTTTGCTTGAATAAGCTATAATAATGTGCATGAAAATATATAAATACGCGTTGATTTTCTTAATAAACGATCTGTTGCCTGACCCTTGTCATCTGTTGTTACAATACTACTAATACTACAATAGAGTTTGTTTATATCAACGAGTCTACCCACCAATGACTAGAGTCAAGATTTCTTATTCTTCCTACTAATTGATTCCTGTATCTGTGAGTGGAAATCAAAAAATAGTTACCAGGACACTGCAAAATTCCTCTACTAAGAAACTTGCACTCTCTACTTGTTAGTAGTACAATTTTCTGTTCACTCTGTCCTCCTTTATGGCTGGCTATGAGACATGGCCATTGAAAGTGGAATACGTGAAAAGGCTAGCTAAATGTCTTTGATCATAGGTGTCTGCGTTATATCCACAGCCCGTGTGAAGTGGAACAGTAGGGTGAACAATATTGAGGTTACGCATCCGTCGAGTGCTAGGTAGGTGGGAGAGAGAAATCAATCGACGAGGCTGTGGGGCTACATCGACTGAGATGTTTAGGATATGTGTTACTCATATGTATCCATATATATATATATATATATGGTGGTCTCTCTCTTTCTGTTGCTCTCTTAGTCTGTGACCATTTCACTTTGATGAACCTGTCTCCTTTAACAATGTATATTCCCCTTATATAATATATAATATGTGCGTTTGTTGACAGTCTGTCCTTGGTGACATATATCCATATAATATGTGTGTTTGTTGACAGTCTGATACATTTTGCTATGTATACATGGATCGATACTCCATTATAATTAGCCAATCATGTTAAGACTGTCTATTGATTTGTTCACACACTTGTTTGGACATTCATATATATTTTTGCTCTCACACTCTTGTGTGACTTTGATTCTCCTTGTGTTTGGAAAATAGAAGTATCATCGCAAACCTAGTGGTCTTCTGATTTCCGTCTTTCTTGCGTCAGGACTATTAAATTCTCGACCAGTACATAACAATAATTTGGCGACGAGTACATAACAGTTACATATGCGTAGTCATCTCCTTCCTCGACGGGCAATGTTAGCTAGCATAGGATAAGTTGGAAAAATGTTAGTGGTAGTCAGACGAAAACATGGCGGCACCAGTCAATGAAATCCACAAAAGTTAGTTTAAGCTAGACAGGCAGCCAGTCACGTAGGGAGATGCAGACTGTGTGGTCGGTTGGTTGGTTAGTGTCCTCAGGATGGTAAGAAGTAAAGACGGCTGGAGACAATTATCGGCGATATGCCTCAAACTAATCGTTCTCAGTCAGTGATGGCGCAGATGTATTCACTCCTAGTGATTTATAGTAGCCAATAAAATTTAACTATTCTTCCCTATTACTTCTATTCTTTTATCCCTCATTCACATTTCCGTTTACTGTCTCTTCTTTGAATCCCTCTTTACTCTCTTCTCTTGTTTTGTGTACTGCGTGAGAAGAGTGGAAACTAGAACTGGTGAACATTTATGCAAAGATTTATAGAGAAGATAAGATGGCCGACCAGAAAAGAGAAGCACAACCAACCACCTATTCTCATCAAAAAATATGCAGACCTCAGTGGAGATGGATCAAATATTACGCTTAGGAGGAGATGATAACCAAGTGACACACGGAAAGCTTATGGTGAGTTATGCAGTCAGCTAGAATTGATATTAGAGGAAGAAAGGCAACGGAGATGTCCTCCTGAGACTCTGTGTGTCCCGTCGGAACAAAAGGAGTGAATACTAATAATGAAAACATCTGAAGTTTATTTGCAGATGAAGAGGTCATCAGACTGGGATATACAGACATAATTTTTATTATTTATTAATTCCCTTACGTTCGTACTGGGACATAGGGCGCATTCAAGCTAGAAGTTTGAGGTTTCAGTAGCAGTGGTGTTTATTTTCACAGGATAGGGTTGCTATCCTCACCTGGCCGAACCTTCCCTGTTTACCAGTCTTATTATTACTGGCTTAGAGAGGCAAAGGAGGAGTGCGTCAGTGGCTGGGGATCAATCCTTGAACCACCTGTGGCGTGGTCAGCGAGCATTCTACCACTGTGCCACTGACACCTAAAAGATACACAAACAGAATATGAAACACACTTTCACCATCTTTCATAGACACGCATCAATTCAAGTTGTTAAGCTAAAGCCTAAAGCAATACCCAAAGAAGCAGTGAATACATAGAAATAGATCGATATTACAACAACACACACAACTACTGCTACAGGCAAACACAAAATAAAAGCATCTTCAACAACACTGTGATGAATTTCCAGACATCTGTGTTAAACTTCTACAATCAATCACTTATTGGAAATATCTGGAGGATTGATGTGAAGTCAAAATACCCCCCCTCACACTGCACCCCCGCGGAACAGTTGAAGATAATAATTTACGACGTCATGCATCAACACATCGTACATTCGTCCGGAAATCTATGACATTTTTCTAAATTAGTTTGCATTACATGAAGTGCCATTCTCAATACAATCAGTGGCAGAGTCTCCAGTTGAATTTGAGATATTCAACTGCTTTGATTATGAAATCATGTGTTTAATAGCAGTGCGAGATTCTTATCTGTGGCGGACAAGATTACTCGAAAGACTGCGAGGAGCGGGAAAACAGGAATACATACGTTAGATGATGTGTGTCTGGTGTTACTACATAAACTCGAAGAAATTTCATTTATCTATCTAGGTAGCATCGTTCCAACTACAGGCGGCGGTATGCGTTGATTAGACCTTTGAGTGTCATCGCGAGCTAGACTATTCACTTGAGTGGAACCTAAATAAGGGAACGGCGAGTTTGCCGTTCAAGGGTCACACTGGAAGAGGTAGTATAATGCAGAGATAAGAGCTTACGGGCCAGCCAGCTGAACATGATTTCAGAGAACAGAACAAAAAGATGTTCTGTCGAAGCCCAACGCCCCACTCGAAACCCAGGCAATCAATAATATTAGTAATAAGAGTAGCGTGCATGTGTGAGTCCATGGATCGATGATAGAATGTTAGCCAGCCATGTTAGACAATCCTAATTCAATCAACAGAAAACGTAACCAGAATTTAATTGGTGTATGGTGACTGGCAGTGGAATCCAAGACAATGCGCATTTCGTCCTGTTTGAGACTCGTCATCTGGATGTTTGGCATTTGAAACTACGGGCATTAGGTTCGAGCTTCAGCGAGAATGTCATCACTCACTGACCGGGGAACACAGGTTTATCCATCTGGAGGACGAGTCTCTAATAGGACGAAATGTGCATTGTCCTGGATTCCACTGATAGTCACCATATACCGATTAACTTCTAATTACATGCCCAGACATCATCGAAACATTTGCACAAGAAGCCGACATGTCAACCTAAAGGCCGAGAACTTCAGTTCAATCCATCGACGGGAAAATCTAAAAATCAATTAAATAGACAACGTAGCCATTAAGCCTCTTCAAGTTTACCAGTCGAGAGTAAGCCGCAAAAAGTGGAAAGGTTTGAAGTCAGTTAGTTAGGAACATAGAAAAATGAATCCGAATTGACAGTCGTAGCGTCATTTTGTACCCCTCCCCCCCGCATTCGCAGGATGAAGCACAGTGGAGAAACATAGCCATTCTACTAAACGATGACAAACCCTTATCAAGAAAGACTCCCTCTACCAGTGAGATAACAACGATAACATATTATCGATCGAATTGTAATCACTAAGCTTAAAAAAAACTGTTCTCATAGTTACTCTCCGTTTTTAGTGTGATTCAAATTGTTACAATCACTAAACGACTAGTTTGACATTTTTTGTGTTTTCAATTCTCATATCATAAATAGCATTGTAAAGCCACATATACTTTTGTGATCACAAATAGAGAATACTCTTCAGGTTTGAAGACAAAGCCACATACACACACACACACCCACACATACACACACATGAAACCACACAGACAGGCAAGCAAGTATGCGAGCATATAACCTTCATATTACATATATATACCTGACAATTGAAAGCAACCACATTCAAATTATTAGAACGTAAACTTTATGACAAAAAACAGTATGACTATTATTTTTTTTTGTTTTTAGTTTGACGATTGCAGAGAGAGACTGTGAGAGAGAGAGAGAGAGATTAGAACATTCCTTTCAGAGAAAAGTAACAAAATGAGATTTATCTGTGTACTATAGAACAATTATTTGTTTTTATTCACGGTATAACTTGTTATCTACCAAGCTAGAATTCATCAATACTTCTAGACTGGTTTGGTTCCGTATTAGTAAACTTACCGCCGGCTACGGACCACCGTATGGCAAGTCGGGATGTACAATTGTTGGGGTCAACCTTTTCTAACCCTCACCCCTACCGATCCGCAGAGTGGAGTGACAGCATAGCTGAGGGAAACACCTCAGCTACAATAAGCCAGTAACTGCTTTTAGTTTAATCGCTATCCTAACAACCTTCCTGGCACGATAGGGCCTGCAGGAACAATAGTTCCAACCAGTGTAGCTTGTTGGCTCATTGCGATGTGCAAGCCCAGCGACCACCACATCAAGGTAGCAGCTATTGGTCGGGAATTCTAGACAATGAAATTTGTGATGTGGTTATGTTTTCTAAGCTGGGTTGTTTGACTGTGATGGGGCTTTCGGTATTCTCCGAGATAATATATGTTTAGCGTTGACATTCATCTGAGCTACAAATCTTCACCATTATCTCACAATATTATTACTTGATTAGCTGGTAGCGACTAGTGAAATTTAGAACGCGATTGACTGATTTTCAATGGTTCTCTAACACATATCAATGTGTGATTAAACTTAACACAATTCAATTTCCGTTCATTCGCTATATACAACCACAGTCATGCGACGATATCGGTAATCACATGTTCCCGATTTGGTGGATTTTACCGATGAGAACTTCTCAGCTGAACTGCAGAAAGTTTATAGGACAGTCAGTCACTGAAACGTTTACCTATATATCTACTCTCCAATTTATGAGAACCCCACAAAATCAATATCTAAAAGCAACCACATGGACTTTTTTGTCAACTTATAGGCAATTATAACCAATGAGATCTACAAAGTGAAAGCCGCCGACAGATGACTATCGATGATATTTGGATGGCGACAGTATTACTTATATATAATTGAATTTTAGATTTTCCCATCGATTGATTGGGTCGAAGTGCTCGGTTTCAGGTTGACATTTCGGCTTCTTGTGCAGATGATTCAACGATGTCTGAGCATGTAATTAGAATTGAGTTGGTGGATGGTGACTAGCAGTGGAATCCAGGATGCGCATTTCGTCCTATTTGGGACTCGTGTTCCAGCTTGATGTACCTGCATTCCCCAGTGAGTGATGATTTTCCCACCAAGACTCGACCCCATTGTCCATAGTTTCCAACAAAGTCCTACAGAAGGTGAATCTAGAGCAGCACTGGGTGATGCGGGTTTGAATCTCAGGAAAGACATGAGTTATTCCTTCAAGGCAATTGCATATACGCCGTGCCCTGACTGGTGAGTGTCAACTAGCACGAAACCTATGTCGGGCAAGTCTTCCTGCAGATTGACTCCAAGCATTTAATGTCAACACTACACAAACAGGTGAACCTGTGCTCCAGTTGGGGAATGAAAAAGCCTTGCAATTATAAACCCACCAGCTCAGAGATGACAAACACATCAAATAAATCACAATCCACCTCTGAGTTAGAAATCCTCGCCTTTATTAATCCACAAATATCTTGGAATCACATGCTAAAATAAGGAAACAGACTAATAATGGCTTAACACTTTGACCATAAAGGAAGAGAAACAATTGGTGAAAGTATTTCTTTAGCCAATGTTTTACATAAATTAAACATTTATAAACAGTCACATGACTAATATATGTGTAGGGAAGTAGAAAAATAAAATAAATAATGATAGTGGTGGTAGTGATAATAATAATAATATTATTATTATTATTAATGACTACATGCATGTCAAACATGCGCAGGATAATGACAATACCAACAATAGAGAATCTAAATCATCAGTAGTAATTCCATACAAGGAAGGAACCTCGGGAACCCTAAGCAGAATTCTTAACAAGGCAGGAATAAAAGTGACTGCCATTCAACCCCCCTCGTCCACAAACTCAATTAGAAACAAGCGTTTTCGGCTAAAGGGTCAATCCTGTGGAGCCTTTAACCGACACAACAATTTAGTATACCTAATGCCCTGCCAGCAATTACTGTCAGTTCATATGCATAGGTCAAACTAGTAGGACAGGTGCAATCAGACTAGCCGAGCATGAAAACCTAGCAGCAAAATCTAGGTTAGTTGACCTGAATAAGATAAGAAATCTAGAGAATAGTTCAGCTATACCACTCCCTACATGCAATTACACACAACCATACAATAGGATGGGATTGGATAATATGACAATTTTAAAATCTAATCTCACAGAGTGGAGGGAGAGATTGATAACAGAAGCTTTGTTTATCGAATCAACTGCAAGCACATGTAACGGGAATGATTCACCACCTGTCCAACCAGATATCTGGAAAATTCTACTACCACGCCAACGATGACAAATAGGAGAAGACAAAGAAAACTACAAAACTCAAGTTTCAAAGTCGTGTGATTATTATTGATGAAATAATTATGAACAATAATAGATTGTGTTCGAAACTTTGGCATCCAGTAAATAATGATACTGTTTCACTGTGTGATATATCCATTTAATAAACAAACTAATATGGAATTAGTCATATGGCTACTTACCCATTTTGTTCCAACAGATTTGACAGACTCAATTCGGATTGAAATTCTTTAAGCCAATTCGACTGGAAATGGTGAATATTTTCACCGCCAAAAACTAACAGATGCCACCTAAATATATGACAAAAAAAACAAGGGAGATAAAGAAATGAGAAATTATGACTTCTAACCTTACATAACTAAGATTTACAACACAGCTGAACACGAGACCAGATATGTTATTACTCTGCGTATGTCAATTAATGGCGTCTGGGAATTGTGTTTCACCCTTCCTAGAACTCATTAGCTGAGTGTCCCCACTAGGGAAAATAGTAAGGACGTTGAAGTATCGTCCACCACAGGCTAATGAGTCACAACAAGTGCCACTTTTGTGTGTTACTTTACTTAGATTTACAACACAGTCATAAAAACCCATAGTAATAATAATAATGATTTACTTTATTCCAAAAACAGTACTTGCCTGACACTATTTTCACTATCACATAAAATACGTTCCAAGTATGGTATCATAGAATTTTTATACTTAGACATGCGAACATACAGCTTTCTGAAGTTACTCCTCGTTCTACCTGAGTAGATGCAAAGTGAAAGCTGAGGGTGCTGTGGTGGATGCTCCAAGTCAGACAAAATCCCTCTAACAAATTTATTGCACGAAGTCAAGTGTTTATCGACAACGACGTTAACTATGTGGTCCACTGGGACACCACTCACCCTACTGACAGTCTTCAGCATTCTACGAATTGTGACATAGTCCTTTTTAAGGAAACCAGGGAAGAATGATAGTAAACAGTAAATAAGAATAGGTAGGATGAAAGAGTTTATGAACTGTAAGAGGAGGGAGGGGTTGAGTTACACCCGAGTGTCTTAACTTCTTAATGTAAAATGTCAGGCTGAATATTTTACTGAAGATCGCTAAGACATGGGAAGACCAGGAGAGATCAGAAGAGAGAATAAGTTCAAGATAGTTAATTTCATGATTCGAAGTTATTAATTCAATGGCGTCTACCACCAGTGAAGTTCGAGCAGCGCTACTCTTCGTATTCAGAAGTCATCAGCAGTGTGAACATACATCTCAAACTTTGACAGCGTTCGCACTTAAAAAAACATACTCAGAGTATGTTATTATTAAACGTCAAAGTGACGACATGCAGTAATTGTACTGCAGTTAAGATGAGAATAGTGTTCATCCTAGAAGCCGGCATGTCACCGATGAGCAAGGATTTCGACTGACTAACTAACTAACTGAATGGTTGCAACATAGAGAACTTTACACATATGTGCACTAGTTCCAGTTGCCACTCTCTCTCCATGTAGCACACAAAACACGAAAACGGAGTGAAGAGAGATTCAGCAAAAGAGAGATAACAAACACAGGTGTGACTGACGGAAACAGAATAGTAGCAATATGCAAGAACAATAGAGCTATGTTGGATATGACAAATCACAAAGAATGAATGAATGTATCTGCGCGCCATCACTAACCGAGAATAATGAGTTTGAGCCATATTACCAATTGTCTCCGGTCGTCATTGGGTTTTTGAATATCTCGAGGACACCAACCAGAAAGTCTAATCTTTCCTTCACGTTCCCTAGTGGAACATTGGGCTTCAAAGCTAGTGGCTTGAAGTTTCTGTAGTACTGTTTATTTTACAGGATGGGGTTGCTAGCCCCATGCCCAACCTTTCCTCTTTACCAGCATTATTTCTGGCTTAGCGACGTTAAGGGGTGAGTCGGCCGGGGATCGAACCCCGGACCATGTGCATGGTTGGCGAGCGTCCTAACCGCTATGCCAGAAAGTCTACACCACCCGAAATGGCGGGCTCAAACTAACTGCTATGAATTTAATTAACTGATTCAAAGTTTTGGGTTGACCACTAATAGCTCTTTTTCAACTTGGCCCTATGTCAGATAACACTGCCCATCGGTTGAGGAAGGCGATGGATGGCTAGGCATGCATACGTAACACATGTCCTAACCATCTTTCTCAATCGACGTAACTTCACAGCCTCGTCGATTGATTTCCCCTCACACCTACCTAGCATTCGACCAAGGACTAACGTCAGTATTCCTCACCCTATTATACCACTACCTAACACGGGAGATATAACGCAGGCAACCATGATTAAAGACGGCTAGCCAGGTTTTTCATGTCTTCCACTCTCAATGGACAGGTCTCACAGACAGTCATAAAGGAGTAAGGAGAGGACTGCTGAGCTGTAACACACGCCCTTTGGTTGACAGCCAGCTAGATATCACGTCTGCTTAGCCAGTGATGGCGTAAAATGGCATATGCAAAACTAGCCCTCTGTATCCATGCTGACATTTCGTCAGAGATCAACCCGTTGCCGCTGGCTGATGCAATTTCCCAGATAAGTAAAGTGGTCAACGCATTCTACCACTTCACTTCCTATTCCTAAATATAAATATAACGGGCATTAGGAAGAAACAGCAGCCCGCGCTTTTTAACAACAATAATAATAACAGGATTTCATTATGAGCTGACATTGGCTCATGATGCTATACAGTTAACTGAATTTTAAGTGTGATTAGAAATTGCTTACCTTATTAAAATATATAAAACACGGATGATGAGTACATTTCATTAGCAAATAGTTTAAAGGAGGGGGGTGGGAGTTAACAATATCAAAAATACACTTTATTTCACATCTAAGTTTCAATGAAATACGCAAAAGAGAAAACTTAATTAAATATGAAACAGGCAGAAAGAGAAGACAGAGAGAGAGAGAGAGAGAGAGAAAGACTGTGAACTTATAGGATGCTCAGACATCAGAAGAATTCTTTTATACCTTACAGAGTATTTCTCTGATCTTTCGATAAACATTCAAAGACTAAACAACTAACCATATTTATGTTGCTTCGAGTAGTGTCTACACGTTTTCAACGGTTGAACACAGTCCTCATTAAGTATTACGGACTAAATGAGTTAAAAATGAACACAGTGAGTCAATTATGGTTAGACTGTGAGATTAAAACTACAACAAGATGGCGAATTAGATACACGTGTGGCATGTGCTACTGACAAGATTAACGAGTAGTAGTATATGCCTATAAAGAGACGCCGATGATATATGCCTGATTTGCCACAAACTGGAAGATATGCAAGTGAAAAGCAACAAGCTGACAGAAGAAGCATCAAAGATAGGACTTCAAGTGAACATAGATAAAACAGAGATGATGAAGATTCCTGACCAACATCAACAGCAACAACAACAACAGACAACAATCAACCAGCCTAAATGGAAGGAACCTGAAAGAAACAACCTCCTTCACCTACCTGGGAAGCATCGTTTCAACTACAGGCAGACGGAACTGACCAGGATATCAAAGTCAGAATCGGAAAGTCAAGACAAGCTTTCATTACTCTTTAGTTTGCATGGAGGTCAACAGCACTCAGAATTAAAAATAAGATCCGGATTTTCAACTCCAATGTGAAGTCAGTGCTACTCTACACGGATAAGAGACTTGGCGCGTCGTAAAGAGCATCTCAAACTAACTTCAGACCTTCATCAATAGCTGTCTCCACTCAGTACTACTCAAGATCAGGTGGCCCGCCAGAAAGCATCAGCAACAGGGCGGGATCTCTGGCTATGAACGAACCAACCCAACAGGAACCAAATGTGATTCAAATAAGCAAAAAAGAAATAGAGGTGGATTGGTGACCATACTCTGAAAAGACAAGCCATCATCAAGTGGTATCACACGACAGGCCATCGCTCGAGTGGAACCCAGCCGAACGGGAAGCGGCGAGTTTGTCGTTAGTGCGAGGGTGAGACATGGAGGAGGTGATGTGAAGAGGAGATAAAAGCATATGAGCAGACGTGTAACCAGGCAGAGAACCGAACGCGATGGAGACATGCAGCTGAAGTTCTATGTTCCTTCAGGAACTTAAAGAAACAATAACAATATAATAATAATGCGAACCTTTCACTTCTTATGTATAAACATGTATTATACACACACATGTTGATAAACAAGGTGCCTAAGAGACTAATGAAAACACTCAATTGTACAATAACAGTTCACAGCAAACCTGTATCTACCTAACTTTTATAGAAATCAAAGTTCAATACAAAACAAAATCAACATTCACTATCTACCATGTGACATGAATGTAAACGTTTATAAACTCGATTCTACCCTTGGTGTTTTGTTTGTTTACTTACTTACTTACTTACTTACTCACTCACTCACTCACTCACTCACTCGCTCACTCACTCACTCACTCACTCACCCACTCACTCACTCTCTTTGTTTCAGACAGTATTTTCTCGTATTTTAAGCCCCCATTATACCCCACCCGCGTTAAAGAAAACTCAGCTGGTAATACTGTTCGTTCGACAGATTGAATGTTATAGAACACATGATTTAAGACAGAAAATAAGTGTTTTGTTTGGTAAATTCTTATCAGGCTTTACATTTACATAGTGATGAAATATTATTATTCAGTCAGAGGCATTTGAAATAATGTGGTTAATAAGACATTTAGGATCAGAGTTCAGGGATGTGAATTAACTGATACCAATCGAGGTAAATACAATCAAATGTTTCCATAATCTAATTAATTCTGAGTTTATAGGTAGAATGTGTATAGTAGTGGTAGTAGTGGTAAGGGGACTAGCAGGACTCAAACAATGCAGTCTACACTTCTACTGTACGTAGCCTCAACCAAAAATATTACAAACTTTATAGATTGATCCTCTGTTTTGGTTATACCATTTTTCACTATTTTCCAACCCATTACTCGACGAGGAAGGCATTGATTCGCGCACACAACGCGTATTCCAGCCCTGTCCTCCTTACCTTACACGTAACGCCTAATCTCAATATTCCTCAGCATATTATACCACTTAACACGAAGGATAGAACACCTAACGTCTTCATATATACCAATTCCAATGGCTATATCTACAATATAGTATCTAAAGTCCTAGACTCAATAACATTGCGCAGACTAAGTGGTGCTCGGGAGACATAAATACAACAGAACCACATAGACTTTAGACAAGGAAGAGGGTGCATTGATCATATCTTCACCCTTCGAGAGATTCTGGAACATAGGCATTCCTACCGGCGTCCAACAGTCATTATAT